AAAGTGATTTTTTGAGACTTTAATGAAACTTGACCAAAGAACAGTACAAAAACACTGGCACTTGAATGTTGAATGCCACCGTATGAGTGAAATTACGTAATTCAGGGTAGTGTGAGCTTCTAATGTTAAGTCACATTAAACTCTAAAGTCAAATTAAGCAGACCCAGCATTGGCAGTGTAGCCATAGTTTTCTGATGTTAGTAAAAATAATAGTGGCGACTTGAAATTGAATCACGCCGAGGGTTGGTACACTTGTCTTGAGATATTAATGAAATCCTTCAAAACACTGAAGTGTCCAGATTCTCACATGTGAGTTTTGTTTCGTTGTGTGTACTTTTCTGGTATATTAGTTTAGGTGCTACCACTGGGTGTGCTATGCATATTCTGATTTTATTAAAATAAACAGTTGAACTGCATTAAAATAAAAAAAAAAGAATTCCCTCAAAAGGCCTCATACACTTACAGGTGGGGCTTCGGAAGGTGATTGAATCACCAGCGCAGCACAGCCCACTTGCTGCTGGGAGACGGGATCTGGCCAGAGGAGCCAAGTCCCTGGGAGTGTTACTCCGTAAGGCATCACCCTCCCTGGCTCCTTACTTTTCTATCTCTGCTCCCTGGCTACCTCATGTGGGAGAGATGCTTTACCCCACCCAGGCCCTTCCTTCCACCTTGCCACATCTGCCTCAGAGCTAAGTCAAGCATGGACTGCAAACATGAGCTGGACTGCAAACATGAGCTAAAATACACCTGCCCCCTTTAATGTGTGGGTGTGAGGTATTCTTTATAGTCAATGAGAAAAGAAAAGTGATGGAGGAAGGGATGGGGCCCAGCATCCGTACACGTGTGGGTAGAGTAATGCCCTGCGAAGAGAGCGATTACACACTGTAGCTTTCAGCAGGCTCAGTGAAAGGGTTGGGACATAAGGGAAGAGCTGTGGGAGGGGCCGCTGTGTTAGGGGAACGCATCATCAGGTGCAGGGGACCATATTGTTCATGCCCAAAGCAGGCTGTGAGGAGGTAACCCCACAATCAACTTCTTTAGAGAAACGAGTCCAGCCGAAGCCTACCTGCGTAGGTCAAAGTAAATCACACCCAAATTCCGTTCCCACAACTGAAACCTTCCGACTAGGACGATGTTCTAATTACAACCATACATTTTGTCTCTTCTATTCCTACCTTGAAAATGCTTTGCCTTGTCCTTTATGAGGCCTGTTTACATTGATTTCCACAGAAATCACATGTAGTCCTGCCTTGCGGGTAGCTTGCCTTTACCCCAATTGATGACCAATAAAAATGAGTGCCTGGGCCTGGCCAGGACTTTGTCAGTAGCGCCCGCATTGGTCTTCATGACACCATGCTCTCTCTCTCTGTCTCTCTCTCTCTCTCTCTCTCTCTCTCTCTCTCTCTCTCTCCGTTCTTCTAGCTTAGTCTTTTTGCCTTGTCCATCAGGCCTGTGCCGTACACTGGGCAGGATACCGGATCCTAAGTGCAGTGGTCTCCAGTCATCAGGACTCTGGAGAATTGAGCTTAGGTTCTGAGTCCATCTCAACGCGAGCCCCAAAAAAGCCCATTTCTGCTGCCACCCAGCGATGCCAATAACGTGGGAGACAGAATCACGGGTTAAGAAAGACTTTCCTTGCAACAACTGGCAAGATGGAAGATTGGAACTTCAGTCCTAAAAGCAAACAAAGAAAGGGACAGAAAAGCCATCTTGCTTGGGCTTTTTAGGCACAAGGCTTGTCGAGGACATCGGATAACTCAGCCCAGAGCTTGTCACTAATCTTGTGCAGTCTGATTTTCTGATGTACAAGCTGCTGTTCTCTGAAGATCACCAGATGTCCCGGGTTCTGTGAATCTGGAGAAAAGTGAGTAAATAGCATATCTTGCGATTTGTGTTTTCATTCCTTTTCAGCGGGAATAGTTAATATTGCAGCTAAGCTTAAAGCTGTGAAGGCTTGTTTTCCCAGAGCACAGGGCAAGATACTGAATGGCTGCTTTTGCCAGAGAACCGTTTCTAACACACCAGGCAGTTTCTGTCACAGGTGTCTACAGAGAAGCCGGGGAGGGGGATGCGGGGGGCGGCAGCTTATTGCTCAGGTATGGGTCCTGCAAAATTAGTGGGTTTTACGTCAACGCAAAGCACGGGAAGCTGGACGTTTCTTTAGGTTTTCCCTCGCTCACAAATACGGCTCTTAAAAATACCTGAATTTCAGATTTCACCGGGGCCACGCGGTGTCCGTTACCTGGTGGCCATATTTGTTGTTATCACCCATCGTGATGAATTTCATGAAGAGATGTCACGAGAGCGACCATCCTTACATTCCTATGCTACTCAGCTGGAGCAAGGTCTGCTCTCAGTGAGAGCAGCTTCCGTTTCTGAGCAAGGGTGCCCTGTGTTTTCGGCCCCTTCATGTGGGAGAGGACTGTCCAGAAGACCTATCTGGCACTTCCCAAGTAACCCCGGTGTGCCAGGCCCTGAAGAGATACCTTGCTGGCACGGCTGCAGGGAGGTTAATTGTCGTTTCATTCCCTATGTGTTTCACCGCCATTCCTTTGGGGATATTTTCTATGAGACTAGGGATTGCACCCAGAGCCTTTGTGCTGAATTGCATCCCCAGCCCTATGGTTAAGTCTCTGTATCACAACACGGTCTTGCGAAGTCACTGACTTCCCCAGGCTGGACTCAAATTCCCAATGCTCCTGCCTCAGCCTCCCAGGGTGCCGGGAGTACAGGGGTGTGGCACCACGACTAAGGAGATATAGCCCTCCTAACTGGATTTCATTGTTACTGTAGTTGACTTTCGGGGCTGCTGGGCTACGGGATGCCGGTCGACTTCTGTGTCTGGAAGATGTCAACAGGGAAGGCACCGCTGCAGGTGAGAAGGTGGGGAGGGCACTGCCCGGGAGCCCTGTGCCTCTGCAGGGTCACTGTGGCACCGGGAGGTGACAGGACCCCAGCCAGGGCCTGGTGAGTGGAGAGAGGTCCTTCGGATGACAAGCCTGTTGTTCAAAGCCCACGAAGAACAGGGTGTTGAGGAAACCAAAGAGCAAACATGGAAACCCATCCTGCAGTGTGTTCGATTCTCTGTTTTTCTCGAACAGTCCTGAGACCGGCAAAGGGTGGAGGAGAGGCTCAGAGGAGCCGGCTCTCACGAACAGTGTGTTCAACACAAAGCTCATCGTTGTCTTCTTGCCGGTGGATTCGTCTTCATTTTCACATCGTCTTTGTGCTGTCTTCCTTCTCTTGCCTTTCCGGCCACAACAGCTCCACTGTATCTACACCACCTTTGTGTCGCTTGCTGGGGGAGACCCCCCTGTCTGACTCCTCCCAGTTTCTGTGTGGCACCTTGGTGGAGAGGGCGAGATGCTGTGCTGCTGGAATCAACTGGGGTCCCCAGAACGAAGGAAAGAAATGGCTGGAGGGGCTTCTGAGAGGATGGGGGCCCCTGGGCGTTCCCTTGTGTGTTTACAGGACTCTGAACGGTGTCAGCCTCTCTCAGTCCTCGCCCGGTGCAGGGTGTATGGAGACACAGGGTCGTTTCCCAGGCAGCTCCAGCACCACAGCGAGCCACCAGCCTTTGTCCCTAGTTGCAGGATGGAGTGAGGAGGGCACCTGGGGGCCATGCCAGCTGGAGGCCATGCCAGCGGAGGGCCAGCAGCGAGGATGTGCCCGGATGAGCGGTGGCTCCTCTGTCCCTCCTGCCCACGTGGGTGGGGACCTGCTTTGTTCCCCGAGGAGTCAAGAGGAGGTGGGGTCGACAGGTGTCTCAGGCCCCCATTCCCATCCCCTCTCTAAACCTTGGGCACACTCAGCCCCGGCTCCACAGGCGGGCACCCGGCGATGGCAGAGGCGAATGTGGCGGAGGGAGCAAGTGTCCCGGGCAAATCCCGAGGACGGGCACGGGCTGGGATCCCCATCCCCTCTGTGTCCCCAGGCCTGGACCTCGAGGGTGTGTGCGCGTGCACGTGTCCACGCGCGTGTAGGGGACAGGACGGCAGGACAGGCTGGGCCCGGAGCCACCTCCTGCTCCACCACAAGTCGGCGATGGGGGCTGCGCCCGCACAGTGCCCATGGGACGCTGACGCCATCTGTGGGCATAGGGGGCTCCGGTGGTGTCCCGGGGACCCAGGCAGGGCCCTTTCCCACCAGGGCTCCCGAGAGCCTGACCGACTCCCGCTTTGAGGAGCTAGGTCTTCAGAAGCCTAGGTCACTGTGTGGCACTCGGGATGGGCCACTTGGAAGGGACTTGACCCCTAGGGTTTCACGGGCGCATGCGCACTCCTCTCTGTGGGGGGGGGAGGTCGCTGGAGTTCTGGGATCCCTGAGGGCAGGCCGTTGCCTGGCAACTGAAGAGCCATTAAACTGCAAGAACAGGTTGGCGGGAAAGGGTCTGCCTGAGGGCCGGATTGCGCAGGCGCTGTGCTCCTCACGAAGAGCATTGTGGGTGGGGCCGTGCCAGAGCTTGGCGCGCGAACCTCCTGCCCTGGCGGGAGCCTGAGTTGAGAGGTGGTGGTGGTGGTTGAGTTCCAGGTGAGTTACAAGGCGAAGAGGCGGGACAGCCATG